TGTGCCACACAGGCCTCTCTGCTCACGCCCTTCTCTGCTCTTCCAGGTGGATGAAAACCCTGTCATGGCCGGCCAGTTCGCCAAGCGGGTGGAAGCCCTGAAGGAGAAGGTGCATTTCCGCTTGGTGCTCTTCTCGTGCCACGTCCGCAAGGTGAGGGGCCGTGGCCTGTGTGGAGAAGCGCTTCTTTCTTACCAAAGGCCTAGTCGTCGTCTGGGCGGCTCCATTCCACAGCAGCACGGCTTCACTAGCGGTGCCTTCTCTGGGTTCGATTCCCCAGTGGGTGACCTTGGGCAAGTGACAGTTCTTTCAGAGCTCTCTCAGCCCCTAAAAACAAGCCTAGCTCGCCACCTCGTGGTGCGTAACACTAAGTGCTACGACTTGTGGATGCTAGACAATCTTAGGATCTCCTGTCTATCCTACACACAATGCCATATGAGAATTATTTATTATTCTTGCCAACATGGTGGCTGATTATGAGCAGGGGTTGAATCTAGAGACACAGACAAAGGCCAGAATGACAGACAGGCTGAACCTGGGGCAAACGCTGGAAGCTGCCGCTGGCTGGCTTAGAGTGTCTTTGGGGTAAGGTTGCCAGCAACCTGTCAGGAGGATTTGGGGAGTGCAGAGAATCATACCGATATCCCACCAGCATGTGACATCACTTCCAGAGAAAGCTGGAAGTGACCTTATGTGGGACGCTGTAGGCATCATGCAAAATGATGGTTAAACTATAGAGTTTGGGGTGATGCCTAGAACATCCTCTGCGACGTGACCCCACTTCCAGTTTTTGCCAGAAGTGATGTCACAGACCTAGAATCATAGAACTGCAGAGCTGGAAGGGGCCACAGAGGGCATCCAGTCCAGCCCCTGCTCAATGCAGGATCAGCCTAGAGCATCCCTGACGAGTGTTAGTCCAATGCTGGCATGCACACAGACACCCTTCTTCTCCCGCCAGCCTTTGAGGTGCTGGTTGGAAGAAGCAGGACTCAGAATAGTGGGAGGCAGGGGTCATTTCCGGCAGGAGCACACAGGAGCGGAGCTCCGGCAGTAAAGAGCCCAGGGGGCGGGCACATGCAACAAGACCCACCCCCTGCTCCCAGCAGCCCTCAGTCAGAGCAAGAAGCAGCCAGGTAAGCTGCAGAGCCCCCCCCGCCCCCCCAGTCCAAAACAGTCCAGTGGCACCTTTAAGACCAAGTTTTATTCAGGTAGAAGCTCTCCCTCCTCTGTGAGGACAGATCTGCATGTTCCCCCCCCCCCAATAGCTA